GTACCATCACAGAATTCGGGCGATTTATCCGAAATGCCATTTACTTTCGACTCCGGAGGCTACAGATCACGGAATCTGGCCGAGGCTATTCTCCACCAATAATGAAGTTTATTGATCATATTCTCGACGGATGATATGTCCATTAAGCACTGATTTGGGCCAATTCATTTTCGGATGGCATTTTCGTAATTTTTTGGGTGACGAAAGGCCATTTTCTTTGGATTTTGAAGGCTGCAGATCACAGATTCGGCCTAAGACTATTCTCCAACAATGATTGAGTCCATTAAGCACCGATTTGGGCAGATTTATTCCAGGTCAATTTTTGGCAGATTCCAAAGGGGTACCATCACTGATTTCGGGCGATTTATCCGAAATGCCATTTTCTTTCGAATCTGGAGGCTACAGATCACGGAATCAGGCCGAAGCAATTCTCCACCGATAATGAAGTCTATTGATCATATTCTCCACTTATAATAAGTCCATCAAACATAGATTTGGGCTTATTTGTTTTCGTATGGCATTTTCGTAATTTTTTTGGCGATGAAAGGCCATTTTATTTGGATATTGAAGACTACAGATCACGGATTCGGCCTGAGGCTATTCTCCAACGATGATTGAGTCCATTAAGCACCAATTTGGGCGGATTTATTCCGGGTCAATTTTTGGCAGATTCCAAAGGGGTACCATCACAGATTTCGGGCGATTTATCCGAAATGTCATTTACTTTCGGTTCTGGAGGCTACAGATCACGAAATCAGGTCGAAGCTATTCTACACCGATTATGAAGTCTATTGATCCTATTCTCCACTGATGATAAGTCCAGCAAACATCGATTTGGGCCTATTTATTTTTGGATGGCATTTTCATAATTTTTTGGGCGACGAAAGGCCATTTTGTTTGGATATTGAAGACTACAGATCACGGATTCGACTTGAGGCTATTCTCCAACGATGATTGAGTCCATTAAGCACCGATTTAGACGGATTTATTCGAAGTCAATTTTTGGCAGATTCCAAAGGGGTACCATCACAGAATTCGGGCGATTTATCCGAAATGCCATTTACTTTCGACTCCGGAGGCTACAGAACACGGAATCTGGCCGAGGCTATTCTCCACCAATAATGAAGTTTATTGATCATATTCTCGACGGATGATATGTCCATTAAGCACTGATTTGGGCCAATTCATTTTCGGATGGCATTTTCGTAATTTTTTGAGTGACGAAATGCCATTTTCTTTGGATATTGAAGGCTGCAGATCACGGATTCGGCCTGAGACTATTATCCAACAATGATTGAGTCCATTAAGCACCGATTTGAGCAGATTTATTCCATGTCAATTTTTGGCAGATTCCAAAGGGGTACCATCACTGATTTCGGGCGATTTATCCGAAATGCCATTTTCTTTTGATTCTGGAGACTACGGATCACGGAATAAGGCCGAAACTATTCTCCACTAATAATGAAGTCTATTGATCATATTCTCCACGGATAATAAGTCCATCAAACATCGATTTGGGTCTATTTATTTTCGTATGGCATTTTCGTAATTTTTTGGGCGACGAAAGTCCATTTTATTTGGATATTGAATACTACAGATCACGGATTCGGCCTGAGGTTATTCTCCAACGATGATTGAGTCCATTAAGCACCAATTTGGGCGGATTTATTTTGGGTCAATTTTTGGCAGATTCCAAAGGGGTACCATCACAAATTTCCGGCGATTTTTTCTGAAATGCCATTTTCTTTCAATTCTGGAGGCTAGAGAATATGGATTACGGTCGAGACTATTCTTCATGGATAATGAAGTCTATTGATCCTATTCTCCGCGAATGATAAGTCCGTTAAGCATCGATTTCAGCTAATTTATTTTCGGATGACATTTTCGTAATTTTTGGGCGTCGGAAAGCCATTTTATTTGGATTTTGAAGGCTACAGATCACGGATTCGACCTGAGGCTATTCTTCAACGATGATTAAGTCCGTTAAGCAGCGATTTGGGCGGATTTATTCCGGGTCAATTTTTGGCAGATTCCAAAGCGGTACCATCACAGATTTCGATCAATTTTTCCGAAATGTCATTTTCTTTCGATTCTGGAGGCTACAAATCACGTATTAAATCTGAGGCTATTTTCCACGTATGATGAACTCTATTGATCCTATTCTCCGCCGATGATAAGACCAGTAACCACCGATTTGGGCCAATTTATTTTCGGATGGCATTTTCGTAATTTTTTGGGCGTCAGAAGACCATTTTATTTGGATTTTGAAGGCTACAGATCACGGATTCGGCCTGAGACTATTTTTCAACGATGATTAAGTCTGTTAAGCACCGATTTGGGCGGATTTATTCCGGGTCGATTTTAGGAAGATTCCAAACGGGTACCATCACAGATATCGATTGATTTTTCTGAAATGCCATTTTCTTTTGATTCTGGAGGCTATAGATCATGGACTCAGGCCGAGGCTATTCTCCACATTTAATGAAGTCTATTGATCCTGTTCTCCGTAGATGATAAGTCCTTTAACCTCCGATTTGGGCCAATTTAATTTCGGATGGCATTTTCGTAATTTTTTGAGCGCCGGAAGGCCATTTTATTGGATTTTGAAGGCTACAGATCACGGATTTGGCCTGAGGATATTCTTCAACGATGATTAAGTCCGTTAAGCACCGATTTGGGCGGATTTATTATGGGTCAATTTTTGGTAGATTCCAAAAGGGTACCATCGCAGTTTTCGGCGATTTTTGCGAAATGTCATTTTCTTTCGATTCTCGAGGCTACATATCACGGATTCATGCTGAGGCTATTCTCCACGGATAATGAAGTCTATTGATCCTATTTTCTGCGTAGGATAAGTCCGTTAAGCACCGATTTGGGCTAATATATTTTCGGATGACATTTTCGTAATGTTTTGGGCGTCAGAAGGCCATTTTATTTGGATTTTGAAGGCTATAGAGCACGGATTCGGCCTGAGGCTATTCTTCAATGACGATTAAGTCCGTTCAGCACCGATTTGGGCGGATTTATTCCGGTTCAATTTTTGGCAGATTCCCAAGGGATGCCATCACAGATTTCGGGTGCTTTTCCGAAATGTCATTTTCTTTCGATTCTGGAGGCTACAGATCATGGATTCAGGCCGAGGTTATTTTTAACGGATAATGAAGTCTATTGATCCTATTCTCCGCCGATGATAAGTCCTTTGACCTCCGATTTTGGCCAATATATTTTGGATGACATTTTCATATTTTTTTGGGCGTCGGAGGGCCATTTTATTCGGATTTTGAAGGCTACATATCATGGATTTGGCCTGAGGCTATTTTTCAACGATGATTAAGTCCGTTAAGCACCGACTTTGGCGAGTTTAATCCGGGTCAATTTTTGGCAGATTCCAAAGGGGTACCATCACAAATTTCGGTCGATTTTTCCGAAATGTCATTTTCTTTCAATTTTGGAGGCTACATACCATGGATTCAGGCCGAGGCTATTCTTCACGAATAATGAAGTCTATTGATCCTATTCTCCGCGGATGATAAGTCCGTTAATTTTTTGGCTTCAGAAAGCCATTTTATTTGGATTTTGAATGCTACAAGTCACGGATTCGGCCTGAGGCTATTCTTCAATGATGATTAATTCCGTTAAGCACCGATTTGGGCGGATTTATTCCGGGTCAATTTTTGGCAGATTTCGATCGATTTTGGAGGCTACAGATCACAGATTCAGGCCGAGGCTATTCTTCACGTATAATGAAATCTATTGATCCTATTCTCCACCGATGATAAGTCCTTTAACCTCCAATTTGGGCCAATTTATTTTTGTATGGCATTTTCATAGTTTTTGGGTGACGAAAGGCCATTTTCTTTGGATTTTAAAGGCTACAGATCACGGATTAGGCCTGAGGCTATGTTTCAAAAATGATTAAATCCATTAATCACCGATTTTGACGGATTTATTCCGGGTCAAATTTCGGCAGATTCCAAAGGGGGTGCCATCACATATTTTGGGTGATTTTTCCGAAATGAATTTTCTTTCGATTTTGTAGGCTACTGATCACGGATTCGGGCCGAGGCTATTCTCCACCGATAATGAAGTGGATTGATCCTAGTCTCCACGAATGATAAGTCCACTAAGCACTGATTTGGACCAATTTATTTTCAGATGTCAGTTTCATAATTTTTTGGTGACGAAAGACCATTTTCTTTGGATTTTGAAGGCTACAGATTAAGGATTCGGCCCGAGAAAATAGAATTTCGAAAAATCGCCGGAAATCTATGATGGTACCCCTTTGTAATATGCCAAAAATGGGCTTAGAAAAAATGTGGCCAAATCGGTGCTTAATAGACTAAATCATCGATGAAGAATAGCCTTAGGGCGAATCTGTAGTCTTCAAAATTCAAGGAAAATGACTTTTCGGAAAAATGCTTGAAATATGTGAGACTACCCCTTTGAAACCTATCAAAAATTGCCCCGGGAAAAATCTGTCCAAATCAGTGCTTAATAAACTTTATTGAATAGCATGACAGCAAATCTGTGACTTCAAACTCCAAGAAAAATGGACTTTGAAAATTCGAAATCTGTGATGGTACCTCCTTTGGAATATCCAATTCCCAGATAAAATATGCCCAAATCGGTGCATAATAACTTTATCACCGGTGAATAATAGTCTTAGGGCGAATCCGTGATTTGTAGCCTTCAAAATCTAAGAAAAAAGGTCTTTCGAAAAATCGTTCAAAATCTGTGATAGTACCCCCTTTGGAATATGCAAAAAATAGCCCTAGAAAAATCTTGCCAAATCACTATTTAATAGACTTAATTGATGAAAAATAGTCTTAGGCCGAATCCGTGATCTTTAGCTTTTAAAATTTATGAAAAATAACCTTTTTAAAAAATCACCCAAAAATAATGTTACCTCTTTAAAATTTGCCTAAAAAATCTGCCCAAATCCGAATCTGTGAACATTAAATTTAATGAACTATACATCATGAATCATGATCCATTGCCCCCAGCTGTATTACCATTTATTCTTCCAATTGTTTGTTGGATCCGAGGGCCAAATTAGTTACGGGCTTCTTTTTACAAAAGCCCAAATAAAAAAGAGGACCCGGATACGAGCAATGAGGCCCAACCAACCAATGTGGATAGAAATGGATAAGGATTAAGGGGGAGCCTAGTCGGTCTGATTCATTCATAAAGCGAGAACGAAGTGAGAATCGTCGCCGGAGAAGATAATCGGAGTTAAGAGAGCAAATATGGTGACTTGTTCGTTCACGAGCAACTTTTTGGGATTCAACCAGCACCAGCTATCGGCATTAGCCGCCGGGAATCCACGGCCGAGCTCGTCGATTCCTCCGCCGAGTTTAGTCACAGTTCAAGCCAAAGCCAGAACCAGACAAGACGACAGGACCGCCCGCCATGCCCGAATCAGAAAGAAGGTTTTAGCCGGCTCTAGCTCTCTCCCTTCTGCTTCCGAGCTCTGGTTTTTTTATTTACCCCCCACTTTTTTTTGCTGTGAATTTTTGTTACAGGTCGAAGGCACAACGGAGCGGCCGAGGCTTTCCGTCTACCGTTCGAACAAGCATTTCTACGTCCAGGTCATCGATGATTCCAAGATGCACACCCTCGCTGCGGCTTCCACAATGCAGAAGCTGCTCGCGGAAGAGCTCAATTTCAGCTCGGGCCCAACCATTGTGAGTGTATTCGATGCTATGAATGAAGCTAACAATTTTGTGTATTTGCAGAAAATGAAAAAAGAGGCTAACTTTAGGATTGAGCTTCGAGATGGTTTAGTAAACAGGGCTTGAAAGAATTGTGGGGTTAGAGTTTGGATTGTGCAATGGTAGATTGTTCAATTGCTTAATCTGGCATTGGATTTGGTGTTGCTTGTTTTGTTAATTTCTCTTCTGGTTCTGCTCATCAGGAGGTAGCAAAGAAGGTGGGTGAAGCTATAGCCAAGGCATGCTTGGAGAAAGGGATAACCAAAGTGGCATTTGATAGAGGAGGTTACCCGTACCATGGACGAGTAAAAGCGCTTGCTGATGCAGCTAGGGAGAATGGGCTTGAGTTCTGAAATCGATTAGGTTAGTCACTTATGAAGGCTCATTTTCATTCAGTCGACATTGTTGTGATGCGATGGATCTAAGTTGTAGAGTTAGGAGCCTGGCTGTGATGTTGTTTGATTATGCAAAAGTTCCTGTTGTCCTGTTTTACTGTATTTGATCTCAAGAACAGCAAGTGATAATCCAATTTAAAAGTTAGCATTTTTTGCTCCAGTGGTCAGCAGCTTGGTCCTTGAAAATGTCTGTTCTTTGCGAAATTAGGACTATCTTATTAAAGCTCATTGCCAAAGCACAGGACTTGGAAAGGAAACTAAATGAATGGTGGAAGTATGAGAAGTTTTAGAGATTTGTAGGGTTTTGACAGAGAAACAGATTGGGGAAAATTGCTCATGAGTGAGCTTTTCCATTGAGAGAAGCATATATACACTTCCTTAAACTACCATTTACACTAACTGTACACTAGCCGTTTAACTAACATTCTAACTAACCAATGTTCCAATACAAAAACGGTGCGTTGCTTTCTACAAGTGGCTAATTACACAGTAAAACTTGAAACCAATGTTCCAATACAAAAACGGTGCGTTGCTTTCTTCTTTCCTCTCGTTCATTTACACGACGTCGTAATCTTCTTTATCTTCCTCTTCTGTTCCTACGACGTCGTAGTCTTCTTCTTCTTCTTCTGCACTTCTTCGTTTGCAGGGGAACTCTGCAACTTCTTCCTTGAGGTTAGCAACTAATGTAGGAGCTGCTTCAGGTTGACTCAAGCTCCTTTTCACCCTCCCACAAGCTGGCGAGTATAGGTTATATACTCCCAGCTTGGATAACAACATGATGAAGCGATCAATAGATAAGCTTTTGGTGAATATATCTGCTAACTGCAATTCAGTAGGGACATAATGTAAAGAGATCATTCCTGATTGTACCCTTTCCCTGATGACATGACAATCCACCTCGATGTGTTTTGTTCGCTCGTGAAAGACTGGATTATCTGCTATGTGTAATGCAGATTGATTATCACAGTATACTGAGACTGAACTGTCATGCTTAATTCCAAATTCTGAGAGTAGTCTGAGTAGCCATTGCACCTCACAACTCAGACTTGCCAAGGCTCTATATTCTGCTTCTGATGAAGAACGAGACACAGTTGTTTGCTTTTTACTCTTCCAGCTCAACCTGTTCCAAGAAATGTACAATATCCTGTGATTGATCTTCTTGAATCAGGACATGTAGCCCAATCACTATCACTGTATCCCTTCAACTGTAAATCTGAATCACAAGAATATAGGAGACCTTGTCCAGGAGATCCTTTTAGGTATCTCAAAACTCTATGTAAGGCTCGAAGATGCTGTGTAGTTGGCTTGTCTTGGAATTGACATAGCTGTTGAACAGCAAAAGTAATATCAGGCCTAGTGGTGGTTAAATATTGTAATTGTCCCACTAAGTGCCTGTATTCACCAACATCTTCGAGTGCTGTACCACCTTCTGAAGACAGAACTTCTTTAACAAAAATTTGGAGTTGCAGCAGGCTTGCAATCTCCAAATCCTGATTCTGCAATAACATCAAGACAGTACTTCCTTTGGGAGACTGTAATTCCTTGCTTCCCACAAGCTATTTCCAAACCAAGAAAATAGCTCAATTCTCCTAGATCCTTCATCTTAAAGTCAGTATGCAGCATTTTCTTAACTGCATTGATTGATTCCAGGCTCACACTTCCTAGAACAATATCATCCACATACACTATCAGCACTACTAACTCATTCAAAACATGAGCAGTGAAGATTGAGTAATCACATGTAGACTGCTTAAAACCATGACTAATCAGAGAATCAGTCAACTTTGCATACCACTGTCTACTTGCTTGTTTCAAGCCATACAGAGACTTCTTTAATTTGCACACTTTTCCTCTGTGTTTTCCATCAAGATCCAACCCAGGTGGCAACACCATGTACACTTCCTCAGTTAAGTCTCCATTAAGGAAGGCATTGCTGACATCCATTTGATGCAGATGCCAACCTTTAACAGCTGCAACTGATAACAACATTTTTACTGAGGCCATTTTAGCTACTGGTGAGAATGTATCACAGTAGTCAATTCCATAAACTTGAGTATACCCTTTTGCAACTAATCTGGCCTTAAACCTGTCAACTGTGCCATCAGATTTCAGCTTCAGTCTAAACACCCACTTGCATCCTATTGCATTCTTATCAGCTGGTAAATCTGTGATTTCCCAAGTACCATTATCAAACAGTGCTTTCAGCTCTTCTCTTATAGCTTCATTCCACTCAGGGTGTTCTGAAGCTTCAATGTAGGTACTTGGTTCCATATGAGTGATCAAAGAATTAACAAACTTTTGGAGTTTAGGCTGCAAGTGGCAGTAAGAGACACTCTTACTTTGAGGATACTGTACATCATAGTCAGAATGCCAGACAGGAGGTTTTGATTCCCTTGTAGATTTCCTGAGAGGAATGGGTGGACCTTCATGGGGAGAAGGACAAGGTGAAAAAGAGTATGTGGATGAAGAGGGATAAGGTGAAGGAGAAGGGGAAGACGGACTTTTAGAAGAAGATGGTGATAAAAGGAAAGGAACATATGCATCAGAACCAGTAGAATTTTGAGAAGAAATGACTTCATGAAGTTCATCAGGATGTGAAGTGGAGGGAGAAGGGATGTCCTCCTCAGACTGATGAGGGAAGGAAGTCATAGGATTAGGAGGAAAAACTGGTGGCTGAGCATGAGGAGAAGAAATTTCAGAAAAGATTGATGTTGAAGAAGAATCTGGAGATGGAGAGGTTGGATTTCTGTAAGGAAGAATGTGTTCATAGAAGACCACATCTCGAGAGACAAAGACCTGCTTGGTATCAAGGTTTAACAACTTAAAACCTTTGATGCCTGCTGGTATACCAAGGAAAATGCACTGTTTGGCTCTAGGATCAAATTTTGTTCTAGGCTGGCCTGCTGTGGCTGCATAAGCCAAACAGCCAAAGACCTTTAAACTGGTATAATCAGGAGGCAAATGATGAAGAACCTCAAATGGTGTTTTGTTTTGCAGAATGGGAGTAGGGGTTCTGTTAATCAGGTATGCTGCATGAAGGATAAAATCACTCCAATACAACAGTGGGAGACCTGATTGATACTTCAATGCTTTGGCAACATTGAGTAGGTGTTAATGTTTTCTTTCAACCCTACCATTCTGCTGTGCAGTGTAAACAACACTCATTTGATGAACAATACCTTCAGCATTGTAAAAATCATTCATGTGGAACTCTTGACCTTGGTCAGTTCTGATGACCTTCACATTTGTGTTAAACTGTGATTTCACCATGGCACAGAATGATTGAAGGAGAGGTCTAGCCTCATCCTTAGATTTCATAAGATAGGTCCACACACATCTAGAATGATCATCAACTAAAGTCAAAAAATAACTATAGCCATTATAAGAAACTGTGTTTAATGGACCCCAAATATCTGCATGTATCAATCCAAAAAGAACAGAACTAATAGAGGAACTGGAAGGGAATGGAAGCCTTTTCTGTTTGGCTAAGTGACAAACATCACAATGATCATAATGGGAAGCTATTACATTAGGAGAAACTTTGTGAATAGCTTGTAATCTAGAGACATGTGGATGTCCTAATCTGGCATGCCAGAGATCAAACTGTTGTGGCTGGAAATTGTGAGAAGTGGCTGCAAGGCACTGAGGTGATGAATTGGAAGATGGTGTCTTGGTGAAAAGGTAAAGTCCTCTATCCACTTGGGCTAAACCAATCCTCTTCTGTGTAATAAGGTCCTGAATAACACAGACAGAGGATTGAAAAGTAAGTGAGACTGGATTTTGTTTGGTCAATTTGCTTACTGAAACAAGGTTGTAGCTAAAAGTAGGTACTAACAGGACTTGTGAAAGAAACAAGCCACAAGGAAGCTTAACAACACCTATGTGTGTGGCCTTTACTTGTTCACCAGTAGGCAAAGTAACTGAAACTCCACTAAGAATCTTATATTTACTGAAGAATTTAGAACTACAGATGATATGATCTGTAGACCCAGTATCCAGAACCCATAATGGTTCACCAGAAGAAGCAATAAGAGCTGAGAGAGCTGTAGTACCTGAGCTGGAAGGCATGGGAGTCAATTGAGAAGGTTGTCTGTTTGTTGGAACAGAACGAGTGACTGCATTGGCTGTGTGCACTGATGGAGAATTGGGAGGAGATGGAGAAGGAGATGGTGACTTGAAGAGCATTAGTTTCAACTTCTCCATCTGCTCATGAGTAAAAATGCTTTCCAGACTCATACGATTGTCAGGGGATGCAGTAGTGTTCTCATTAGAAAAAGAACTTTCCACTGATCCAGCAAAACCAGCTTCTGCCTCTCTGGCCTTTTTGTTTTTCAGTCGATAACAGTCTTTGATCAGATGGCCTTCCTTTTTACAGTAATTGCAAATTTTCTTGCCATCCTGACCTTGCTGTGATTGCTGTCCTCTTCCCTTGAACTGATTGGAGTTGGTTGTTCCTACAGCTAGGGCAAGAGAATCAACACTAGGACCCTTGTTAAGAGGTTTTAGTTTTTTCGTTCCAACTGTAGAATCTGCTTGAAAACTTGATCAATATGAGGTAAAACTGGTAGCATCAATACTTGGGTTCTTGCTGATTGGTAAGCAGGGTTCAACCCTTGGAGGAATTTGATGACAAAATCATTGTCCTCATACCTCTTCAGAGTTTCATAAGGACCAGGAACACAAGGACAAACTGGAATAGGTCTGTATCTCTTCATTTCTTCCCAGATTACTGTGAGATTGGTGAAGTACTGACTAACAGAATCATCACCTTGAACACATTTAGCCAATTGACCTTTTAGATCATAAACACGAATGTTGTCCTCCTGGCTAAAACGATTCTTCAAATTATCCCATACATCCTTAGCTAACCCTAGTCTCATCACACTGTTAGCTATGTCATCTGACAGTGAATTGTAAATCCAACATCGAATGGTTCCATTACATCTAGCCCAAGATTGATAATGAGCATCTGTTACCTGAGGAACATGAATACGACCATCGATGAACTGAGACTTGTTCTTCGTTTCCAGGGCCAACAGCATGACCTCACTCCAGGTGTGGTAGTTGCCATCACCAAGCTTGATGGAGATGATTGTGGGTAGAGCACCATCTTGAGGAGGTAGATAATAGGGATTGAGGTAAGGATCTTCGTACTGGGAAACAACAGCTTTGTATTTTGCAGAAAAGTCAGATCTGGATTCTGGGTTTGGTGAAGTTTCCTGTGAAGCTCCTTCTCCTTCCATTGTTGATGTAGATCAGTATCAGAAGGAAGAAGGAAGAAATTTGCAGAAGTAAAATTTGATCAGAAAGAAAAGAGGGATCTCAGCGCGATGAGCAGCGCTCTGATACCATGAGAAGTTTTAGAGATTTGTAGGGTTTTGACAGAGAAACAGATTGGGGAAAATTGCTCATGAGTGAGCTTTTCCATTGATAGAAGCATATATACACTTCCTTAAACTACCATTTACAGTAACTGTACACTAGCCGTTTAACTAACATTCTAACTAA